CCCCTGGGTGGGCCCCAAGGGGAGGTGGGGGGTGAGGTGCCCCCAGGGAGCACAACCCTGTACCAGAGCCCCGATAATCTCAGTACTGGGGGGGGGGAGGGGAGTCCTTTCTGGGCTCATCTCTATGTTCCTCTGTCCCCATGTCCTGTGTCCCAGGTACTCTATGTCCCATGTCCTCCCCATGTCCCCCCATCCTGTGTCCCCCATGTCCCCATGTCCCCTGCCCCTACTAGGCACCAGTGCTCCAGCAGTCAGTGCCAAGTTCCCAGATGAGATAGTCCTTGCCGAGCTCATCCCCTTGTCCCCGTGATGTCCCACATCCTTACTGGGCACCGGTGCTCCAGAGGTCGGTGCTGAGCCCCCAGATGAGGTAGTCCTTGCCCGACTCGAGCCGCAGTGCGTCCCGACACTGCTGGTGGCTCACAAAGGTCCGGTTGCTCCCGGCCGGGTCCTCATCAGTGCCTGCCCAGGGTGACAGAGTGAAACAATCCCCACATGCCACCCTCTCCCCCGCCCCCCCCAGCCCCAGACTTGGTCCTCAGACACCAAGGATGTGGCCCAGCTCTTCCACTGCGCTCCATAAAGGTTGTGGCAACCTCCCCAGGGATCACTGATGCTCCCAGGAGCTGCCAGCACCCTTGGGTATCAGCACACTGGTGACATCACTCTTTGGTATCACCACCTCCACACGGAGGTCACTAGCACTTTTGGGTGACTCCAATGCACTTGACTGCCCCCAGTGACCTTAGGTGTCCCTTGAAGCCTTGAGTGCCATCGACCCACCTGGGTGTCCCTGCTCCAGGGTGTCCCCAGAACCACTGGGTGACCCCCAACTCACTGGGGTGTCCCTGCCCACTTGGGTGTCCCTAGCACCTTTGGGTGTTTCCAAGTGACCTGGGTGTTCCAGTATCCTTGGGGGGTCATCACCCCACCTAGGTGAGCCCAACTCACTTGGGTGCCCCCAAGTGACCTTGGTGCCCCCAACACCTTTGGATGACACTCACCCACCTGGGCATCCCCAGCATCCTGGGTGTCCTCAGTCCCCCTAGGTGTTCCCAGCACCCTTGGGTGACCCCCAACCCACCTGGGTGTTCCTGCCCCAAGTGTCTTCAGCATCCCCAGGTGACATCAACCCAGTCAGGTGTTCCCAGCCCACCCAGTGTCCCCAGGTCCCCGGGCATCCCCAGTGCCCCAGGCAGCCCTGCCCTGGCACTCCAGGATTCTCATACCCATCTTGATGACAGAGAGGATGGTCATGACGTAGCTGTCGTAGGCCGGCAACTGCTTCACCTCCACCAGCCTTGCCTTGTACACTGGAAATGGGGATGGCCCCATGTCACCCATGCCAGGGCCACCTCTCGGCATGCAGGGCCCAGCCCCTCAATTGGCTCTGCCATCCCCTTCCCCATTGGTCCCTCTGTGTCCCCCTCTGGTGTCCCCATGTCCCCTCCTGTGCCCACATCTCCCCCATGTCCTCCCACATCCCCACATGTCCCCCATGTCCCTCCCTGTCCCCCCATGTCCCCCATCCTGGGGACCCACCGTAGTCAATTCCTGGCTCACAGGCATCTTCGATCCGCTTGTTGACAGTGACGGCGAGGTCCTTCTTGTGCTGCACGAAGCAGTTTTCTGGGGGGAAATGGAAGGAGTCACAGCTGGGACAGATCCCCATCACAGCTGGGATGTGTCCCATCATGGCAGGGACATGTCCCCATCACAGCCACAAAGTGTCCCATCACGGCCATATCCTGGTTCTTGTCCCCATCCCCATCCTTGTCCCCACTGTCTCCATCCTACCTTCAGCGCAGCGGCACACATCCCCATGGCAGATCTTGCTCAGCTGCCCCTTGTTCTTGTCCGGGTGGTAGAAACGGGTACAGCGATCATCTACAGGGATATGCAAGGACACGGGGGGACACGGGGTGAGGGGAGAAAGTCAGCAGAGGTATGGGGGAAATCGAGGACACTTGGGGTTGAGGGTTGGCAAGGACATGGGCACACCCTGGTGACACCATGGAGCATGGGGAGAGACACAGGGGAAATGGTCTGCAGGGAGAGGAGGGCACAGAGGGGAGCACAAAGGAGGGGCCTTAGGGGGACATGTGACACACCAATCTTGTAGTAGCTGTAGATTGTGATGGCCGCGGGCTGGATCAGCCCCACCTGGAAAACCTGGTGGGCCTTGAAGGTGAGACACTCCTCCTCCCGGTGGGACACCTGGGGAAGGAGATGGGGATAGAGATGAGGATGGGGTCAGCAAGGCACGATGGCACTGCACCACAAGTCTGGTCATGTGCCCATCCCTATCCCCATGCCCATCCATGTCCCCATCCATGTCTCCCTCTTCATCCCCAGCCTTGTCCCCAATGCTGGCCCCAGTCCCCTTCCCCATCCCCATTTCTCACCCTGTTCCCATTCCTCACCCTGTTCCCACTCCCATTCCCGCGCTATCTATCTCAGCCATGTCCCCATCCCTGTCCCCATCTCTGTCTCTGGCTCCAGGTTCTCTCAGCTCTGTCCCTGTCCCTGGGCCCTCTCAGCCATGTCTCCAGTCCTGTCCCCATCCCTGTCCCCAGGGATGGCCATGTCCCCAGTCTCCAGTCCTGTCCCTGGCCCCTTCCTCATCTCTGGGCCATCCCAGCCATATCCCCATCCCCGTCCCCATCCCTGTCCCACCTTGTCGAGGTAGATGATGAGGTTGCCGCGGTCTGAGGGCGCCTTGTCGATCTCATACTTGGAGATGTACCTGTCCACTCCCTGAGAGAGCTGGACACAGAGACACAGGGACACCATGACATGGGGCATGGCCACACAGGGGCCCTGTGTCCCCTATCCCTGTGTCCCCATGCTCACCCGTTTCAGGTCTTCGAGATCAGGGTTGAAGCCTGTTAGCATGGAGACGTCGAGGATGGACATGGTGGCATCCACATTATCCAGATACCTGTGGAGGGCAGCACCTGTCCCCAACATCCTCAACATCCCCAAGACCCTATCCCTGATGTCCTTGACCCCAGGGAGCCCCCTGGGACAATGTCACCATCCTCATCCCTGTCTCCAACATCCCCATTCTCCCCATCTCCAATGTCTCATCCATGTCACAGTCCCTGTCCCCGATGTCCCCATTCATTTCCCCAATAGCCATGTCCCCCTCCCTATCTACAATCTCCCCATCCCCATCTCTAATGTCCCTGTCTCCAGTGTCCCCATCCCTGGTCCTAACATCCCCCTTCCCATCTCCAATGTCCCTAGTGTCCCTGATGTCCCCAGTGTTTCACATGTTCCCAATACCCTCGATATCCCTGATGCTCCCCAATGTTCCTGGTGTCCCCAGTGTCCCCCACCTCATGCAGATGGTGATCTTGACGGACCGGATGACCCCTTCCTGTTGTTTGCCTGGAGGGGCAACAATGCTGTCACCCCTAGGGGACATGGGGGGACACGGGGGATGCTGAGGGGGAATGAGGGGTGGCATGGGGGTTGTGGGGTGATGTAGGGGATGGAGTGCCATGGGGGGAGTCACAGGGACATGGGGGATATGAGGGGACGTGTGAAGACATGAGAGGAATTCAGGGGGAATGGGGTGACATAGGGGACTGGGGTACCATGGGGAGCCCAGGGGAATATGGGGACTATTGGGGACTCAAGAGGACTTGGGGGGGGGGACATGGAGGGACTCAAGGGGACATGAGGGGGATTCGGGGGGATAGCACATACTCACCTGTCTTCACATCATCCACTTGTACCCTCAGGTTAAAGCTGTCACACTTGTTGTCCTTTTCAGGGACCCTGGCATTGTAGACGGTCACCACTGTCATCGTCCCCTTGCCTGCTCCCTCAGCTTTCACTGTGAAGTCCTCATTCCACTTGGTCTATGGGGACCAGGAACATTGAGGGGGATGGTGACATCCCCAGGGGGATCTGGAGGTGACAGAGCATCCCAGGCCATGGGGGGGACAGGGATGTCATAGGATATGGAGGGGACAAGAACATTCATGGAATGGAGGGACACAGAGGGGACACGGAGGGGATAGGAAAATCCTAGGCCACTGAGCGGGGACAGGAACAGAGGCATAGCTGTGCTGTGCCAGCCAGGTGCCCACAAGCCCTGGAGTGATGGTGACAGTGCTCGTGGCAGTGGCAGTGACAGTAGCCATACCTCAGCAGAGCGGGCCACCAGAGCGTTGCGGTTCTCGATGCGGTACTTGATGGGGCTGGCACGCCGAGGCAGCAGCAGTGACACGTCAAGGTTGAGCTCTTGCTCACGTGGCATGGACATCTGGTACTGGGCCAGAGCTTGGAATACCATGATGGTGGCCTGAGGGGACAGCGGTGTCACCTGGGGGCTTGGGAACACAGTCCAGGGTGTCCCCAAACCCCTGGAGCATCCCTAAGCCTGTGGGTCCCCAAAGCCCCAGGGCCACCTGGGACTGGGTCAGCACCTGCAGCACCTGGATGGTGGTCTGTGAGGACAGCAGTGTCACCTGAGAGGGACTGGAGGGGTTCACCAGGAGCTTGGAGGGACACTCTGAAGTTTGAGGGACCCCAAGGAAATGGAGGGGTCCCCAAGATAGTGGGTGTCCCATAAAACCCCAGGGGTCCCGGGAACTTGGGGGAGGGTCTTAAAGGGACAGGAGGTATCCCCTAAAACTCCAAAGGGGTCCCCAAAAGCCCTGAGCATCCCTAGGACCATCTGGTTCCCCACAGAGACAGGAGGGGTCTCTGGGGCTCCCAGGATCTGGAGGGGCTCCCCAAAGCACTAGATAGGTTTCCCAAAGCCCTGGGGGTCCCCAGGGACTAGAGGTGTTCCCCAAGGACAGGTGTCCCTGGAGGGCATCCCCAAAAGTCCTGGAGGGCATCCCCAGGACATGAGTCCTCCAAGGACAGAAGGGGTCTTTGGAGGTCCCAGGGATAGGAGGGTTCCCCCAAAACTCTGGGGGTCCCCAGGGGCTAAGGGGGTCCCCCGAGGCTGCAAAGATCCCCCAAATCCCTTGGAGATTCAGAGTCTGGAGGAGAACCCCAGCAAGCCCTCAAATCCTCATCTCTCCCCCAAGATGCTCACCCTCATCTTACAGTGGGGGGGTACCAAGGTGCTCCTGTAGGGGGTCTCTGTCCCATCCCATCCCATCCCCCAGCCTGTGGCCCACCTGCGTGGAGCCGTATCCACCGCCAAAGTAGTTCTGCTTGGCGAGCCAGCGGACTACAGGCCCCGTGAGCTCCGTCTTCTCCATGCGCAGCAGGGCCAACAGCGCATAGGACGTGCCCTCAATGTTGTAGGTGTGGGCGTTGCGTTCCTCCCAGCGGTTGCCCTCTATGGGGAGGGAGGGGAACCAACTTCACTTCATGGCCCCCCCCCAAGACACGCCCCCCTACATTTGCCCCACTACCCACCTTCGCACCCCCCCAGGCTTCACCTTTGGAGACTTTCATGAGAACCTTCTCGCTGTTGAGCTTCCCTGCTAGGGCCAGGGCGTAGGAGGCCAGGGCCACCGTGTAGGGCCTGGCCAATGACTGGTACCGCCGTGCCAGGTATTCGGAGGCTTTCATGATGCTCCCGTCCAAGCTCTGGGCACAGAGAAATGTAATAGGGATTCTCAGGTGGCTACTCTATGGGTTGGGCCCCCCACCCCCCACCCCAAGGGCTGGCAGCGCCTGCTGAGACACTCACATTGACACGGTCCTTGCAGATGTCCCGGGCTTCCTGCAGTGCGATGAGGACGAAGGCCGTCAGCGACACCTCGGGCTCAGCGCCCTGATATCCTCCCTGTATAACGAGATGGTAGCAAAGACTTTGGCACCAAGGATTTGGCTACCAATGGGGAAAGGGTTCACAGCCAGGCTCAGGCACCCACATACCACCATCTCCTTGTGGATGGTAGGAGCATCCTCCTGGAAAATCCCATCTGGCTTCTGCTTCTCCAGGATGAGCCATTTGATGGCCCCACACACCACCTCAGGCTCAATGTCCACCAGCTTGATGGCCATGGCAAAGACCTTGGCCACATATGCCGTCAACCTGGGGGCACAGGGATCTCAGAGTCGTGCTGTTTCTCATTTCCCCTCCGTCCCACACTTCCTCTGGATTTGACCCCATCCCCACCTCCCTGGTCCCCCTCCTGGCAGCTGGAGGAGCCAGGACCCTCACCAGGTGCTTGATGGCCGGTTGTTGAAGGCAGCATAGGAGTTGTCGTTTTTCCGGAAAGCCAGTTGCTGGGTGTAGCCTGGCAATGAGACAGTGGCTGAGCAAAACCTGGGGACATCCTATGGCGTGGGGACAGGCAGTGCAAGGAGCTCCTGGCCACAGGCCAAGCCAGGCTGGCTTTGGGCCACCAACTCCTCCAGCATGACCAGGGAGCACATCCCAGTACAAACGAGTAGCTCCAGACACCTGGAGGGGAAGGAGGGGGAAGCTGGGGATGTGCCCCCCTCACCCACAGGATGCTCCTACCCTTTTTAATCAAGGCAATGGCCTCAGCGCGGCGGTCAACACCAATTGTCTCCCACTGCTCTGTGCTGTCCAGGTAGTGGGTGGCGATGACAGAGGGCGTCATGCCGATCATGTTCTGCTCGCCGCAGCCTGATGGCGTCGTGATGAGGTGCTTGAGGTTGGCCCCATCGATGGCTTTCTCCACAATGATGGACACAGGGTTGCCTGGCCAGGGAAGGATAGCATCAAGCCAGGGGCGAGTAGCATCTCCCATCCCTCCCCAGCATCCCTATGCATCCCCAGGTCCCTGCTCTCACCTTGGATGCTGACTTTGGTCTCCGACTCGGTGTTGGGGACAATGTCAGAGATATTTGCTGCTGAGACCTTCTCTTCCTGCACGCCATCTGCAGGGCAGAGAGGGCATGATGGAACTAGGCAGCCTTAACCTGGCCCCAAATCCCTTCGTCCCCCTGAGGTACCCTGGCCTTGCCCTATGTCTGCAGTGGGATGTTCTTCACCCTGCTGAGATGTCCCAGTCTTGCTCCAAATCCATAGCGGGATGTCCTTCATCCTCAAGATTCCCCTAAATCCATAGTGGGACATCCTTTGTCCCCCAAGGCACCCCAGCCTAGCCCTAGATCTACACACCAGGACATCTTTCATCCTCCAAGATGTTCCCGGTCCTGCCCATAGAAGGATGTCCCTCATCCCCTGAGATGCTCCAGATCCATAACAGGTTGCCTCTTGCCCTCCAAGATGCCCCAGGTCCATGATGGGACATCCCTCATTCCCTGAGATGCCCCAGATGCTTAATGGGACTCCCTTGTACCCTGAGATGCCCCAGATGTCCTTCATCCCCTGAGGTGCCCCAGCTCCATAGCAAGATACCTTTCATCCCCAAGATGCCCTCAGTCTTGCCCCTGGGGCCTCTCTGTCCTCATGCCTCAAGTGCCCTGGTTTGGGCAGGTACTTTTTTCACCCCAAGGACAAACAGCGTGGCTGAGACATCCCCAGTAGGGGATGAAAGATACTCACTGATTCCCCGTGCCTTTGGGTCCAGCTCAACTATCTTCACCGTCTTCTCCAGTCTCATCCCTTCAGCCTGCAGAGGCGAGATGCTGATGCTCAAGGCTGGACTGGCTTTGGACCACCCTTCCCAATCACTCCAATCCAGGAAATGCATCCCAGTGCAAACCAGCAGCCCCAGGTCATGGGAGAAACTGGGAGAGCCCCACAAGACCACCCAGTTTGGCTCCTTGGGCAGCCCAGACAAAGGATCATTCATCCCTGGGTATAGCATCAGGATGAAGGTGGAGATGGGGCTGTCACGGGGGCATCCTGGGGGATAGTGACACATCTTAGATGCAACGACGGGACACTCACCACAACTTTGAGCTTCTTCTTTACACCATCAGCCACGAAGCTGCCCCACACGGCTGCCTTGACCTCGACGTCGTGCAGCCCCAGCTGCAAGGGTATGAGGATGAAGGGTACGACCCGCGACGACTGGGCTTTCAGGACAAAGATCTGCTGGTAGCGGGTCTTGGAGGAGGAGGCGCTGCAGATGGCCGGGTTATGCATGAGCTCCACGCGCACCTATGGGGTATGGAGAAACATCAGTGTCAGGGGGGACTCATATGGCTCTGGAACTTCCTGTCCCATTAGGCCCCAGCCCTGCAACCCTCACTGACCTTGATGTCATGCTCCCAGTAGTTGTAGAGGATGGCGCGGATCTCCACCTGCTCATTCCTCACCACCGAGTAGGGTAGGCGCAGGTCGATGAAGAACTCCTTCATCACTGTGATCTCGTAGGAGTTGGCCACACAGAGCCCTGTGGGGTGGCCAAGGGGGGGTGTGGAGTCCAGGCTAGGGTCTTGCCAGGCTTTGGGGGGCCCCTCGGGTCCCAGGGATCTCCCCAATGTATTGGAGATCTCTCAAGTCCCAAGAAACCCCTCCAAGGTTTGGGGGACCCCCTCCCAAGGTTTGAGGGATCTCTCAAGTCCCAAGCAAGTCCTTCTGGCTTTGGGGGATCACTCAAGTCCCATGGGTCCCCCAGCAAGGTTTGGGGGACCTCTCAAGTCCTGTGGACCTTCCCCAAGGTCTTGGGGGACCCTTCCAGGTCTTTGAGGCCCCCCTTTCCACCCACTGCCTGGTGCTGTGGTTCCATGGCGCACCCTTGGTCTCAGAGAGGCTGACAGCCAGGACCTCCCAGGTGGTGATGGAGTCCTTCAGGTATATGGGCAGTGTCTTCGTGGAGATGCTGGAGGGGAAAGGAACCACCGAGGGGGTTAGACAGCCTCCGAGTTGGGCCAGGAGGTTGTAGGTGGCCCCTGAGCTGGGCTGGGGGGGGTCATTACTGGTTCCTGAGCTGAACCAGGTGGTCCTTCAGCCAGCCAGGGGGTCTCAGTGGGTTCCCAAGCCCTGGGGTGAGTGGGGGGCATCAGTGGCAATGGGTGCTCACCCGAGCTCATTGGGCGGCTCTATCAGCTGCTCCACCTGCCAGAGCCAGCTCTCGGGGAATAGGGTCCGTGAGGTGATGTCCTCGTCGGCCAAGAAGCGGTCGTCTGCCTCGCCTGGGGGACAGCATACAGCCTGCTCGCCCACGGGCCCTGGGCATGTGGCCCCTCACCAGGCTGAGCTCTGGGGCTCAACCACCCCCCCCCACCCAAAAAACCCTGGCTCAGCCCCAGTACTTGCTTCGGGCCAGCTCTAGGTGCAAGTCACGCTGCTTCTGCTCGCGGATGGTCTTGATGTAGTTGCAGCAGTTAAGGAAGGCCTTGACACAGGCACTGCCCTCCAGGATGTAGGTGGCCCGCTTCTCACAGCTGTGGCCCATGGGGTTCTCCTGCATGCCATCCTCACAGCACTTCCGTAGCTGCCCATCCTCGTACTCGGCCGCTACCGGCACCAAGATGTGGAGCTGACACCGCGCAGAGCCCCCTGAACCACCCCTCCATGCAGTGGTGGCTGTGGCTGCTGCCAGGAATGTGGGGAGGGGGACAGGCATGGGGGACTCCTCCGGGAAGATGGGATGGGGCAGCATCCATGGGAAATGGGATGGGGTGGTATCCCCTGGGAAATGGGATTCTCCATCATTCCATGGGACATGGGACTCTCCGGCACCCATAGGGAGAAGGGATGCTCCAACATCCCTGAGAGATGGGATACTTCAGGATTCCCTGGAAGATGAGATGCTCTGGCATCCCCTGGGGAGATTAGATGCTCCAGCATCCCTGGGAGACAGGACACTCCATGATCCCTTGGGAAATGGGATGCTCCAGAATTCCCCAGGACACAGAACACTCCAGCATCCCCAGGATGCCACATACCTTTGTTGCCCTTGTACTCGATGAGCTGCAAGGAGCTGCGCCTGCGTCTTGCTGGCTTCGGGCACTGGACCTCTGCAGGCAGAAGGGCCACGAGTGAGGACCTCAGGGCATCACACCCCCATCCCTGGGTGCCACATCTCCATCCCCAGGGGTCACACCCCCATCCTGGCATGTCCCCTACCCGCTCGCTGCGGTGTATTGATCTTCATGTTGGTGGTCAGGCTCAAGCCAGCGTCAGCAAAGACCCCCACATTGTCCTTCCCACTGCCTGGAGTGCAGCCGATGTCACTCTGCTCTACTGTGTTCCACACCTGCAGAAAGCCAGGGCCAGCCATGACAGCCATCACCGTGACACTGGGGACCCAGTCCAGCTACTGCATGCCATGAGGTTCCACTCGTGGCATCCACCAGCACCCACCTTGGACTGCGTCAATTTGTGCTTCTTGTTGAGGACGAAGACACCCTTGTCCACAGCCACCAGCCCCACGTGGGCCTTGTGGTCACCCTCGATGCTGAGCCGCATGGGCGTCCCTGGCTCGTGCACTCTGTTGTCCGCCTCTGTGGCTCCCTTCACCACCAGCTGTGGCAGGGGAGAGGGAGGGTTGTGGCTCCGGTGTCTCTGGCTTTGTCCCCCAGTGCTGAGGAAGTTCTCTCAGATCGGCCCCAAGTGAATGGCCAAGACCCCGTGGGGTACCTGAGCTTATGGCATGCCCGAGCCCCTGGGATGTCCAAGACCCCCATGATGCCCAAGCCCCTGGAATGTTCAAGTACCTCATGGGATGTCCAAACCCCCCTGGGATGCCCAACCCCCCAACCCCCCCGGATGCCTGAGCCTCCCAGAATGCCCAAACCCCTGGAGATGTCCATGTTCTTCCAGGATGTCCAAGACTCCCATGATGCCCAGTACTCCCCAGGATGTCCAAGTCCCCCTGGGATGCTCGAACCCTCTGGGATGCCTGTGCTCCCCAAGGTGCCCAAGCCCCGCTGAGATGTCCAAGCCCCCCTGCAAGGACATCTGAACCCCCCAGGATATCCGAGACCCTCATGGGATGTGTGAGCCCCCCTAGTCGCTGCTGTCTCCCAGTGGGACGCACAGTGCCCATGCAGGTGTCCTTGACGTCGACCCAGACAGAGTCGGCAACGATCTCCCCTGGCGTCACGTGGTAGTAGGCCACGATACGGAAGGAGGGGATGAGGTTGGCCGTCACGGGCAGCGACATGGTGACAAGGCTCTGGCCGGCCTCGCGCCGCTGCCGTCCCACACGCACAATGTACCCCTTGCTCAGGATCTGCGGGAGGGCAGCAAAGATGGGGAGTTGGCAGATGCCTGAACACTGAGGTCCCCAGGACAGGCCAAGGCAGCACTCACGATGTAGGTGAAATAGGTGACGCCATTGTTGACAGCGGGGTTGTTGCTCTTGAGGTGGAAGTTCACAGGGAGGTTGTCGCCGGGCTGCAGCTCGGTGGCCGTCACAGCCAGGTGGAGGAAGTTGTTGGAGTTGCCCTGGCTGTGGTACGCCTCGGCTTGCATGCTGCGGCTGGCCTGGCGTCCCTCAGGCAGCCCTGGCTGCACCGTCCGCACCTGCGAGGGACCCCGGGGCCACCCAGGCGGGTGTTCACAGGGGGTCCGTGGCTGCCACGGAGCTCCCAGCTGCCCCTGCCAGCCCCCCCTCCATCTCAGCCACCCAGTCCCCCGACCACCCCAGCCGTCTTGACCGTTCCTGTCATGGCTACCCCAGCCCTCTCAGTCATCCCAGTGCCCTGATCACCTTGGCCATCCTGGTTTTGTGGCCACTCCGGTCATCTTGGCCATCCCAGGTCCTTGTCCACCCTGGGCATCTTGGCCATCCCAGTCCCATGGCCATCCCAGCTGTCTCAGCTGTCCTGGTACCATCAGTCCATTGGTCACCCCATCTGTGTTGGCCATTCCTATCCAATGGCCACCCTGGCCATCTCAGCCCTCCTGGTCTCATGAACCAAGTCACCCTGGGTCCCTGGCCATCTTGGCCACCCCAGTCCCTTGGCCACCTCAAACACCTTTGTTCCCCGGCCACCCCCAGCCATCTCAGCCACTCCAGGTCCCCACATCTTGGCCACCATGGCCACCTCGGACCCCCTGTCTTTCAGTCCCCCGGTTCTCTGAGCCCCAGGCCCTGCTCACGGTGATTGGAACGGTGGCCTTGTTGGCCGGCATGTTAAGGATGAGCTTGGCAGTGCCATCGTTCTGCGTGGACACGAGGCCCTGGAAGCCATCGGCTTTGACGGGGATGCGCGCAGCTGGTGACTCATCAGGGTTGGTGACGTAGACCTACAGGGCAGCAGGCTCAGCACAAGATGTGGCATTGGGACACATCACAGGGATATGGCACAGGGACATGGTATGGGGACATGGCACAGCACAGGGAATGGAATCCTTGTCCCCACAGTACCCTCCACCTGCAAAGCCTGGGCTGACCCCATCCCCATGCCAGGGACACCAGTGCCGTGACAGGTCTGGGCTGACCCTGCCCCCATCCCTGTCCCCCAGGTCCACCCCAGGGTGCCATTACCATGAGCTCGAAGGGCATCCCTGGCTTGAAGTACTTGGGTGTGCGGGTGAAGTGGATCTGGTACGGGGACGTCACGATGTGGATGCCCGGGTGCTGCGCTTCAACCATGTCACTGCCTGCACATGGCCCCAGGGATAGGGATGTCACCTGGTGCCAGGACAGGGCAACCCAGCCCCAGCTGACCTGACCAGGTGCCCACTGTTCCTTGCCCTACACGTCCCCGCTGTTCCCATTCCCCCGTGTTCCTGGTGCCCCCAAAAGTCCCCACTGTCCCTGTCACCCACATTCTTGGTCCGTGCTTGTCCCTGTTGTCTCAATTGGCTTCATCACCACATGTCTGTGCATCCTGCTGTCCCTGTCCCCACATGTCCCCCTGTCCCCATCCCCATATGTCCTCACTGCCCCCCCATCCCCACCTCCCTGCAAACTACCAGATTCTCTGAGGACAGTGACAGAGACATTGAGCACGTGGCCTCACTGTCCCCCCAGTCCCCGGGACCCACCAGACTCGGTGAGAACAGTGACGGAGACGTAGAGTGAGTGGCCCACCAGCTCCTGGGGGTTGATGAAGCGTTGCCGCAGCATGGCCATGGGCAACGCGGCTTCCCCGTCCCCATCGGTGATCTGCAGACACAGGGCTCAGTGGGGGACAGAGGATGGGGACAGGGAGCAGGACAGGGAACAGCAGGGCTCAGCAGGAGATGGGGACAGGGGATAGGGACAGGATGTCAGGGCTCAGAAGGGGACAGGGAATGGGGACCAGGACAGTGATCAGCAGGTCTCAGTAGGGAACAGGGATGGGAGACAGACTCAGATGGAGGACAGGGACAGGGGCCAGCGCCAGCTCACCTGCACCCTCTGCAGGGACTGCGGGATGCTCTTCCTTTCATCATCCACCATCACGCCGAAGAGGACAAAGGCCGTGCCGTGCAGGCGCTTCCCATAGAGGTACCTGCAAGGGCCCCAATGGAAAGAGTTAGCTTTCAGGGTGGAGGTCCCCATCACCCCACATCCTCATCATTCACATTGGGGGTCCCCATCTCACTTTGCCGTGATGGACACGTGGAAATCCTCCTGCCGATCGATGTAGAGGAATTTCTCCTCTGGATCCAGGATGACCTCGAAGCTTGGCAGCACTATGGAGCGTGACAGAAAGACAAGGGTGACATTGAGCAGTGACTCCCAGGTGAGTGGGGTGCTCTGGTTTCCCCTCTAAACCCTTCCTGGGAGATCGCAACCCACTGGAGGGGACCCAGGCATCCGGGTGAGTCCTCTACCCGAAAACATGCCGTACCATACTCCTTGACGTCAAATTGGGTGCTGAAGACCTGCTCTGGTGAGTCTTCAAATTTGGCCAACACTGTCCATGTCCCCAGGCTGGGAAAGGGATAGGGTGAGCAGCCAGAACAGGGATGGGGATGTCCCCAAGCCACCCCAGTGCCTCGTTAGGGCCACACACCTGACAACCTCAGGCAGGTTGTGGTTGAGGGAGAAGATGCCTGTCTTCTTGGGCGAGGAGACAGGCGTTTGCTTGACAATTATGCCCTCAGCAGTCTGCAGAAGGACAGGACAGTCAGGTACTGTGGGCCAGGTCCCTGTCCCTGTCCCCATCCCCATTCCCCCATCACCACCGTGGACCCACCTTGATCTCCACAATGATCGTCTTGGGAATGGGATCCATGTGGTGGCCCAGGGCAAAGAGGCGGCAGAGCACTGGGAAGGTATGAGGAAGACAGGATGAGCGGGGACATGACAAGGGCATCCTGAAATAGGTGTCAGACCCCCATGAGGATGCCATAGGGATATTCCAAAAGGGGAGCCAGACCCTCATGGGGAGGCAATGGGGATATTACCGTGCACATCCCAGTGCCAGCTCTGGACCCCAATGGGGACACCAAGATGAGAGCCAGACCTCACTGGGGACATGTTGGGGACATCTCTGGGAACACCCCAACCCCAATCCCCCATCACATGAGGATGTTACTAGGGACATGATGGGGCCATCACCAGGGACATAATGGGGACGTCAATGAGGATAGCCTGACCCTGGGCTCTGGATCCCATGATGGGGACATCACTGGGAACACTCTGACCTCAAGCTCTGGACTCTATGAGGAGGACCACCAAGGACAACAGGGATGTCACTAGGGACACCCCACCCCAAATCCAGCCCCCTATGCCAGACCCCTCCCCCCCCCCAACCCCGTTCCCCATGCCTGGGCTAGTTCAGACACCCATCCCTGTCACCTCCCTGGCAGTGACCATCCCCTTGGGGTGCTGCAGGAGGGACCCGCACCTGTGGAGCCAGGGGTGTAGATGGGCTTGTCAGTCTGCACGAAGATGTGGCCACTCTGGGGTGACACTAGCAGCACTTTCTCCAGGGTGGCCTGGGGGAAGCGGGCCTGCACCAAGACATACTGCTTCCCTTTCCCCCGTGGCAGCTCCTTGGCTGACAGCTGCAAGGACACAGGGACGCCGGGTGACACCCATGCCCAGGGTGATGGTGGCCTCAGGGCATGGGGACACCTGTGCAATGCACCTGCACCCCAGGGCAATGGTGGCCCTGGAGCATGGGGATGTCTGTGTGATGTGCCTGCACCCTGGGGTGATGGTGGTCCCAGAGCATGGGGACACTGGATGACAACCCCACACCCAGCAGTGACAATCCCCAGAGACCCTGGGGAACACTTGTGGCAGTTCCAGACCCTGGGGACACCCATGTGATGGTCCCAGGCCCTGGGGTGACAGTCCCCATGGACTCTGGGAACCCACCTATGACAGTCCCTAGAGACCCTGGCTGACAGTCCCCAAACATGCCAGGGTGACAGTCCTCAGAGATGCTGGGGACACCCATGTGATGTCTCACACCCTGAGGTGCCCCCCCATGACAGTCTCAGGCCGCGCAC